GAAGTCCTGCGTATGTCGAAACTTTCGTCCCGGGGATGTATGGATATCAAAAAAGCACCTGCAAGGAACTGGAGCTTCCACATACATTAAATGTCGATGACGTCTCTGGCGCTACAGGAGGGGGATGCCCGTCAACCTCTGGAAGGATCTCTCCGCCGCGTTACGCAGCTGCTGGGCGTAGCCCCACAAAACAAAGAAAACTACCTAAACAGCATCCTGGAGGATCGGAATGCTGTGCTGTCGCCCCACATAGCTGCACATGCAGCCCACAGATGCTCGTCAAATGAGATGTGGAGCTTCCACGTTTCAAGTCAATTGTATCTCTTGTATCTTCATTGCAGAGAGGAAATTCTATTCCATTCGTAGGAACAGAGGTTTGGTTCTACCAGTGGCCGAAATAGGGAGAGATTGGTTGTCTTGGGCATTAGATTACCATTCCTCGCTTGTTTGATGGAGGAAAAAGGTTCTAGGGAATCTCATTCGCTACAGTGTGAATGTAATAGGGCTGCTGTTGTTTTTCGCAGAGAAGAGAGATCTCTCAAACTAACAGAACTAACTTACCCATGACTATGATAAAATGCAACACCCCTGTGGCACATCTATACAGCCTTGCCCAATTCCTTCTTATGACGCCTTGGTATGTCTATGGTACTGTACCTCTGCGTTATTCAAACATGAAGACAAGGAGAGGTGGTCCGTTGGCACCAAATATTTTGGAGCACGTCCCTTCTGAAAGTTTGGTGCTGTCGGACCGCTGTGCTATCATAGTATGAAGACAAACAATAATTAGGCGGTTCGAAGGCTCCAAATTATCTAAAATGTTTGTTCTCAACTTCTTTTTCTATATCTTGGTAGATCCATGGTACCACTGTTGCTATTCTAGCATGAAGAAAAGGATCAGTAGGAGCAGTTCCACAGCAACGTTTTTTAAACCCCTTCTCGGATTGTTTGGTGCTGCCGAACGGCTGTGTTATCCGTTCTCCTACTATGAGGACCAGCAAGGGGCGGTTCGATTGCACTACATGTTCTGAAGCATGTCTTTTCTGTAAATTTGGTGCTGTCGAACCGTTATGCTATCACAATATGAAGACAAGAGGCGGTCCGCGAGCTCCAAATTATCTGAAGCATGTGTTTCTCAATTATGTTCTTATATGTTGGTATATCCCCTGTACCTCTGTTCTATTCAAACATGAAGACAATGACAAGGAGCTGCTGTTCTACAGCAACATTTTTCGTAGCACCTTCTTTGATGAATTTTGGTGCTGTCGAACCGCCGTGTTCTCCCAGTATGAGGACCAACAACGGGCGGTTCGATTGCACCAAATGTTCTGAAGCATGCCTTTTCAGAAAATTTGGTGCTGTCGAACCGGTGTGTTATCTTAATACCAGGACAAAAACAGGGCGGTTCGATAGCACCAGATTTTCTGAGGTGTTGATTTTGTATTTTTGGATATCCTGGTATACCTGCGGTATCTCCGTGTATTTCTAGCTTCTAGCATCCAGGCAAGGAAGGGCGGTTCGATAGCACCAGATTGTACGGAGCAGCCGCTTTCAGAAACTTTGGTGCTATTGACCCACTGTGCTACCCTAGCATCAGGACCACCCGGACGGTTCGATGACACCAATTTTTCTGAGGCTTTTCCTGTTCATTTTCCGATATCCTAATAATATCTATATAAGGCATCTTTGCGCTAGTCTAGCATGAAGGCAGAGGGGTGGTTTAATAGCACTAAATTTTCTGGTGTGTTTATTTTCTATTTGTTTCTCCGATGTCCTAGTACTTCCTGGTATATCTATGGCATGGTCTCTCTGTGTTATTCAAACGTGAAGACAAGGAGAGCTGGTTCGTTGGGACCAAATATTCTGTCGAGCCACTGTGCTATCATGGTATGAAGGCAAAGAAGACGCGGTTCTAGAGCTCCAAATTATCCAGAGCGTTGGTTTCTCAATTTCTTTTCTTATATCCTGGTATATCCGTGGTACCCCTGTGCTATTCTAGCACGGAGACGGGGAAGGGCGGTTCGAAAACACAATTTTTTGTGGTGCCGGCTTACAAAAGATTGGTGCTGTCGAAACCAACAAAAGGCGGTTCCATATTTTTTAGAAATGTGTCTTGTCAATTTCTAGATCAGTATGTTGGTATATCCATGGTACCTCTGTGTCATTCGAACATGGAGACAGGCCGATAACACCATTTTTTTGAAGTGTTTCTTCTCAAGTCTTACAATGCTCTGGTAGATCTATTGTACCGCGGTGTCATTGGGAGCATGAAGACAAAGAGGAGCGTTTCGATAACACCAAAACTTTCCAAGTATTTCCAATAAAAAATGGTGCTGTCGAACTACTACCGCATGTTTCATCCCGGACCAAAGAACATTGCAGATAGACTGTATTGTCCAATGGCAAAAGGGGCTCCTCAAGACTCTCAAAACATTGGCTTCAGTCGGACAGTACAAATTCTTTGCGCTCTCATATCCCTCAAGACTGCAACAATATAAGTATTAAAGTATTGTTCGAAGAAAATCAAAAGCAGAAACTTGCAAGGTCTTCAGGACCCAAGCTCCCCAAGACTTCCAAAGCAGTTGCTTGTATTGACGCTTGCACTGTTTTTGCACAATTTTCTGGGCTTATCATATAACATGTTGGCTGTTTCTGCTGCCTTGGAACACAAAATGTGTATTGCCCTTGTAAAACTAGCAGAACTGTGCAAAGCTTTGTATTGTCCCAATGAAAACTAATATTCGCGGATGTTCGCGGAGCCTTTGGAAAGACAGGCCTGAAGCGCAAACATTGGTTTTAATAAGGGTTGTACAGCATTTTGCATTTTCCCGTTAATTTCACCCGGAGCAAGACGCCTTCTTCAATATTTGACGGGTAAAAGCAAAAGAATGGAGCAAATGGCCAGGGTGAACCAGGAATTCACATACAAGAACCTACACACATTTTGTCAGAATTAGGGACTCCCTTATTCCCTGGATTTTGTTACGTTCCGGCTTATGTAAAGAAGAATAACAGAACCTACAGGAAAGCTAAATAGCACTACGGGAACGCTTTCTTTCGTAGATTTCTATGGATATCTAAGGTTTTCATACGAAAAAACACTTAAGGGATCCCTTTCAAATTCTTTCACAATTATTCAAATTGAGGGGGGCTGCGCTTAAACTTTGGGGGAAGCGATGGCTTCAGATATCTTCAGATAGTTCAATCTAGATAGTTGGGATAATCTGGATGGCCTCCGTTTCTGGTGTGACAAAGAGCAGGGGAGAGCAGCAGCTTGTCTCTCGCCGATGATTGAATAACATTTCCTGCCATCTCTTGGTCCTGAAAACTATTGATATTAATGGCTTTAGTGCTTAGTCAAAGTGCTCTTTATCGTTGGAATGTGGTTTGGGTAGAGGCGCGCAACAACAGACGCAACAGGTCGTGCATCACATATCTTCACATGCCCCATTTCACATCCAAGCACAGAAGCAACATGCCATGTATCATAAAGCAGCTCGAAAGTGAAAACGAGGTCTTCTTTTGATTCCTGTTTCTACTTTCTTCCTCTTTCTCTCCTCTCTGCATCCTTCCTTCTTACGGAACACATAACAGGTTGAGAAGGGAGAAGGTGACTAAATGTTTCGAGACACATGGCATCTCACTTTGCGCCCATCTTCCAAAGCGAGAAAAGGATGGAAAGGGAGGAAGAAAAGAGATGAATAACGGATAGAGAATTGAGAAACAGTAGTTGTTTTGTCCACTATATATATATGTATATATCCGCGTCCTCCATTTTCTCCTGTCTTCTATCCTCATCTGATTTTTGCGGTTGAGGAGAACAAGCCCAGACAAGAACAGCAAAGCAAACGATGGGATAAGGTACCTTGTTTTTCCTTGCTGTAATTAGCATGTGTGTTCTCCTCCTCGTCGTTTTAATTTCTCCCTGTCCTTGTCTCTTCCATTTTTTCTCTCTTCCCATTCAAGAGACCGCAGGAGAGGGAAGAGGACAAATAGCGAAGGAAAGATGAATGGGATGGGGGTGAAGGGCTCAATTACATCATTACTTGGAGGCCCATGGGACTTATTAATTATTTATAAGTGGATTATAACCGTACTTATAATTGGGGTAACCCCTATAAGCCCATTTAGGGGAATTATAAGTAAGGTTATAAACCCAATTAGAATTAGTTACTAAGTCCCATGGGCCTCCAAGTACCCCTTTTCTTTGACGTCCTGTTGTCACTTCCTCCTTCTTCTTTTCGCTTTACTCGAGTAAAGAGGAGAGAGTAGATAACATGAAAAAGGTCATGAACGACGACACGCGCTAGAAGACGGATGCAGCGCGTACCTCATTCCCATTGGACCTCCCTCCCCGCTTGAAATTTGAAGAATTGAGGGAACAAAACAAGAAACTATCAGGTTCCCCTCCCTCCTGCCCTTTTGGCGCCCCTCCTTTCGTTCTACTCTGAAATGAAAGTTGTGGAAAGAGTGCCTTTCTGTCCCTCGTCCAAATCTTTCCTCCCTTTTTCACTGAGGAGAAGCATTTAAAAAACATGACAGCAATAAATCGACAAGGGTTCTGTCTGTCTTCTGAGAAGAGGGGGGAAGCAGCAGGAAGAACAACACAAAACAAGTAAAACCAGGTTCTCGTAATGTTATTTTTTTCTTTCCGATTCTCTGTTCCCCTTCTCTGATGTTGCTTCTCAGAAAGGGCTCTTCTAAAAACAATGCAGCAAGTACGGGAGCTTCCCTCTCCTGCTTTTTTTGTCTTCCTGTCCCCTCTCAGCAAAAAAAAGAGATGAAAACATATGAAAACTAACCAGTCTTTAGGCTTTCCTTGCGCTCCTCATTATTGCTCCTCTCATCCGTTCTCCTTGCGGAGGAGCACATATATAGCTGACAGGACGAAGACGGTGGATGGACGGGAGATGCATGAACGACACCATTCAATTTTCTGTTCTTATCTAGTTGTCTTGTCAGCTTCAACTCGAAAAGTAGTTTTGAGCAAGATGTGCAAAGGACTGCTTATTCCTGTCTACATGCGTTGTTTTGCTTCGTTCAGGAGCAAACACAGGTCAAAGCAATGCGAGGAAGATAAGAAAAGGGCGAACAGGAGAAGCGTGCTTGCCCCAAACGTTTACTGTTGTTTGCTTTGCCTTTGCTCTTGTTCTTCTTCTCTATCTATTCAAATGACAAACAAATCAACAAGAGTCGAGGAAAAAGGGCACGAGGGAGCGCTGAAAAACACTTGTGCCTGTTATATCCACGTTCTTCCTTAATTACTCTCTTCCAAAAACTGTGGAGCGGCTTCCCGTCACGTGTTCTTGCATCCCGAAGGAAACATGAAGACCACAAAAGAGCGTGAGAGATTGTACAGTGATATGAAAGCAGGTGAAAGCTTTCGCTCTACCTTTTGTTCCCTCTGTTCTCTGTCTCTACATCTCTCTAGATGCTTGAATAGAAAGAGAGGAACACATAAAAGGATGAGAAAAGCATATTGAAGTATGACAAACAAGGTAACAAGAACAAATGAGTGAAAAGGGAGGGTTCCGTCCAAAGGGCCTGCATACTATGGTATGTATCATGTGTACCCAATACCGCTACGTTCTATATATCCAGTATCCCCGAACGCTCAAAGGCACTTTGGTTTTCTTCTTGCCGTACAGGCAGTCTGCTGAAGCAATGGGCTGCGCTTGAGACATGCTGTATGATGTGATGAAATCTTTCCTGCCCGTTGTGAGTAGGGACTAAGGAAATATAATCCCTATATAACCCCTATGTATTGTAATGCATATTCTCTACCAACAACCAGTAAGCATCTGGGAGTATTTTGCAACCAGAGGACGTCAGATCAGAAATGCAAAGACTGGCCCAGCATGTTCAACGCAAACCCAGCGTTTGAAATCCTCACAGCCTCAAGCCTAATAGGGATAGCATTTTGACAGACCGTAGTAGAAAACCATCCTTTTAACCGAGAGGGCATCGGATCGTGGTCTGAGCACGGCTACCGGTTGAGGTCGCTCGCTCAGGTAGGACGCCTTTTTAGTATTGCATATGCTTCTCAAACAATGGTTACAAATACAACTCAAACAAAATCATCATATCATACATAAAGGTTCCTGCCTCATATATACATATGTGTTTATTTACATCTGTATTTATCTATATGTCTATTATTTATCTATCTATATACACTTTTTTTTAATATATATATATATATACATATGTAAATTGCGTCGTATGAACCAAAACCAAGGGCCACAAAACTCAGGAACGCTGGGGCCAAGACTCAGGATACGATGCAGCTACAGGGGCTAAGATTCTGAGACTTGGTTCCCAATGTACCTAACACACAACCCTGGTGACAGTACGTTTTTTGGCACTGCCCCATCTCCTAATGCCTAAAATTGAAGCGCACCAGACACCCCCTAAATGCCACGCAGGTCAGTTAATAGTTCATAATAATACAGTTAGCAATAATTAGTGATGGTAAGTGATAGTTCTGCATATACCATGAAAGACTAAATTCAAAAATAACAAGCACACCCCTAAACCCCTAAACTCTTAAACCCCCAAACCACATAAACCCCCAAGCCCAACATCTTAAACACCGAAATTGACAAAACCACAGGCTGGCCAGGCGGCTGCACCAATAAGAACGGAAAAGCCTCTGAGGTCGTCATCTTACCCGCCACCAGGAGACTGAACAATGTGTCCGAAATCTCCTCCATGGTACGGGTGTCAGGCTTGTTTAAGATTGAGGTTTTAGGCCTAACTCCCTTTTGTTTGGGGATTAGATTCGGACGGAAGCTTAATCTAGTACTGTTTTCCTTTCTCTTGGTAGCTTTTTTCATTCTAATTTTTGGTGTGGCTTCCTATGAAAACGTCTATAAAACCGATGATTTGTCTTCCACACCTCTAGAAAATCACAAGTTTCCTACAGAAATCCACGCCCTTCGCCTTTCCACAGGTTGAAAAGGTAGGACATGGGTGCGACATTTGCAATTCTTAATTGGAACAGGACTCCTGGGAGACATGTTCGACTCCTCGACCCTTCGCCTTGCCAAATGATGACGTAGATGATTGGAAGGAACTGACACATTTTTCACTTCCCATGTCGCACCTTGCCACATGATTACCAGGAAGGGAAGCGGTCATGGTTTTGAATAGCCCCTCTTGCTTTGCCAAACGATTGGAAAGAAGAAAATGGTTGGGAGGTATGTGAAGACTGGAAGAAATGGTTGGGAGTTTTGTTTAATTCCCCCCCGCTTGCCTGCCGAAAAATAAAAATGGAGGGAATGGTTTGGGAGATATGTTGCTTAGATAAGAAGATAAGAAGGAACGGAATGGTGGGGAGATATGTTTCAATCCCGCCCTCTCGCCTTGCGAAGAGACAAGAAAGAAGGGAATGGTTGGGAGATATGATGAATTTCACTGAATTTCCCTCCCAACCCTTGCCTTGTTTCAAGATTAAATCGGATGGTTGGGTGACAGGCGGTCATGGCTTCGAATCCCCGATTGCGCCTTGCCAAAGGACTAAGAGGAAGAAAATGATGGGGAGGTATGTGAAGACTGGAATGAAGGGACTGGGAGTTTTGTTGAAATTCCCCCTTTCGCCTGCCAAAAAAAGTAAAAGCGAGGGAACGATTCGCGAGCTATGCTCGGATAAGAAGGAACGGAATGGTTGGGATATACGTTTCAATCCTTCCACGGTATGGCTAGGATTCCCTCGTGCGCCGGTCTTCGGCCAAATGGAAGGAAAAGGTAACCCAGGAAGCCTCTCCCCCTAAATCCCAAACCCCAAACCCTAAATCCTAAAGAAACCAAACGCAAGCCCTAAACCCTAAATCCTATAGGTTTGTGGGCACCTCCTTGGTGAAGCCATGGCCATCCTTTGAATCCTTAGCCAGGTCGGCGACTATGTTCTGCCGGTGCTGGTTCGGGCCAGCCATTGCCTCCAAAGCCAAACAGGGTTTGGGGTTTGGGGTTTCAATCGGTATGGTTGGATGTTCGGGGTTTGGGACATGGGGTTTGGGGCTGCGAGTCTCTAAAGTTTCGGATGGTGTTGGGTTCTGGGTTCAGGGCTGATACAGGGGATCGAAGCGAAAGATCGAATGTTAGATGGATAGAAGTCTCCCAGCCTTACACACGGGACAAAAAAACCTGGGTCGCGGGGGGTTAGTCCTATCACCCTGCACGCGTCGGCGATTAAAATCATTGATATGAGCCTCACCAAAACCTTCCCCAACAGAATCACAGAAGGGGAACTGCAGCTTTTTGGCCTAGGTGTTGGGTATAGGTCGTTTACATAAGCTTTCTGTTTTGTGTTGACCCCTTTAGTAAAACAAGGCCAGAGCCATGGATTGCTTGCTCCGCGCCGGTTTGTCATGGAGATCTACGAGTAATGTTGGGTCCTGATTAGTGTAGGGGGGGCCCCCCCCTTGCCCCCCCAAACGAATATGGGGACCCTTTTAATGCAGCGGGAAGGGGGGGCCCCCCAAACAAATCTGGATCCTAGGTTTTAATTACAATCAATAGGCGGGATTGCGGGATTGGATCCTAGGTTTTAATTAACATAGAATAGGATTCGATTGACTTTTTCTCCGAATTATTTATTTTGCCGCGCAACTTCGCACAATTAAGGCCCCCCAAAACGAACCAGGGGGGATAGAATAATTTCGGCGAAACTTCGCACAATTGAGTCCCCCCACACTAGTCGGGACTTAACATTATAGCTGTTTGTACGTATCGATCTATATATACATATATAAAGTTATACACATACATACATATATATATATATACATATACATCTATACTTTCTCTATATGTATATACCAATTGTCCCGAAATCCCGAATACCCGAAAACTCTCTACCTTGGAAATGATTTCGTCGATGTCGCGCCGCGCGATCAGAGCGCGGCCGTGGGCCGAGAAGCGGCCGAGGTTGATCGGAAAAGCGTAGAGGCCTGGCAAAAAAATCTGTATGTATGTATGCATAGATAGATAGATAGATAGATAGATAGGTAGGATATATATATACATAACAATGATACTAATAAGAAGTAAAACTAGTAAAGCAGTACTCATTGTCATAAGTATTTATATATATAGAGAGAGATAGAGTTGTTTGCATATATAGATGCATATATAGATAGAATTATTCATGCAGTGTAATCATCATAATCGTATCTGTAATCATAACCATAGCCATAATCATAGTTGTAATAGTAGTCATATATGTATACTTATGCATCTATTTATTCCTTTAATTTTCCTTAAACATTCAGACACCCCCTTGCTTATTATTGGCATTCACTCTTTCCCTTTCACCACCGGGCATTCCCTTCATCTTCCTTCCGTTCCCGTTTTTCGGGGCTCTGGCTTTCTAGTGATTTTCGGCCCTCCCCCACCCCTGCCTTGCCCCCCCTTTCCCTTCTTCATCTCATTGCTGCTTTCCAGCATCCCTTCAGCCCTCTTGCCTTGACCTTTTTCTGGAAGAGCCTAACACGAGCTAAACCCTGTTGTCTAGAATTCTGGCGGTTAACCCCTCCGCGTCTCTCCCCCACCCCTCTCCGCTCTCCCCCACCCTGCCTTCCTCCTTCTCTCATCCTTGCTTTCACCCGACTTTTCCTGCTCTGTTCCTTTTTGTTCGGGCATCCTTCTTCCTCTTCCTCACCCTCCCCTCTCCTAAACTTTCCTCAGCTCCCTGCCTCTGTCTTGCAGCTTTCCCTCTCAGCGCTCTCTCCCCGCGCCCTCTCTTCTCCAGCCAACCCTTCCCAGCAAGCCTTCCTCTTCGCCAACTCCCTGTGTCCCCGCGCACCCCCCCATCCCCTCCCACTCCTCTCTGCCCTCTGGGTCTCAGGCCAATTTCTTTTTCCGTTTTCGATCCCCCTCGACAAGGTTTGTTTCGACCCACTTGGTTGCCCGGTTTGGGCACCAGGCTCTCTCTAGGCATCCCTTCCTCCCAAACCCCTTATACTTTTCTGGCTGTTGCTGTTTTGGCCATCTAACCCGGACACTTGCTCAAACTTGCCGATTGCCCACGACCCTTCCTCCTCCCCCTCTCTTGCTCATCAACTCTTTTCCCTTTCCCCCTACCTCCCCTTTCCAAACCCCCCCACTGACGAGCCCCTCAATCAAGCTTAAACCCTAAGCCCCCCCTACTCACTAAGCCATAAGCCCCAACAAAACTCTATTCTAATCCTCAACCCCCCCAGACCCTAAACCTGCCAAGGAGCCCAAAACGGCGGTATCGAGAAGCGTCTGAAAGCGCCGCTGATCTGCATCCTGGGGCGACGTTTTGGGGTTTAGGGTTTAAGGTTTTGGAGTGGGGTGGGATGAGCCTGACCGTTTAGTGTATCTGCCTACAAAGTGTAGGGTAATCCGAAAGCCCATCAAGAATCTGAAGTGTTTTTGGCGGGGAGGCCGCTCAGTAGTACCAAAAGGCTTGGGCACTGAGGGTTTAAGGTTCAGCATGGTTCAGGGTTCAGTGTTTAAACTTCAGGGATGAGGGGACAAGAATCGAAATTGATGAGTTTGGGTTTCAGGGCTAGGCTCAGGTGTCAGGGCTTCAAATGTAAGGAATCAAAGAATAAAATACGATGGTAAGGCTCAAACAAGGTGATAGGGGTTACTGGTAAGGAATGAAAGTATGAAGTATTCTTGTAATTACCATTTCTACGATTCTTTCGTTGCCTACTAATCAACAGGAAGGTTGCTCGAATTCTCAGCTTTGCGACACACACTTTTCATAAGCTGTGTCAAAAAGGAATGGGCGTATCAACTAACACAACCCAAACGCTAAATCCTAGAACCCTTTGCCTTCAAACCCCTAAGCCAAACCCTGCAAGCCCCAGACCCTTTAACCCAAACCCTTGAGAGCCCAAACTTCCAAACCCGCAACCCTCCAATCCCAAAGCCACACGGCCGTAGTCGTAGTGGTAGCGGTAGCGGCGGCAGCGGTAGCAGTAGTAGCAGTAGCAGTAGCAGTAACAGTAGCAGTAGCAGTAGCAGCAGCAGCAGCAGCAGGAGCAGTAGTAGTAGTAGTAGTAGTAGTAATAGTAATAGTAATAGTAGTAGTACTAGTACTAGTACTAGTACTAGTAATAGTACTAATACTAGTACTAGTACTAGTACAGTAATAGCAATAGCAATAGCAATAGCAATAGTAATAGTAATAGTAATAGTACCAGTAATTGTAATAGTAATAGTAATAATAATAATAATATTAATAGTAATAGTAATAGTACTAGTAATAGTAATAGTAATAGTAATAGTAATAGTAATAGTAATTGTAATAGTAATAGTAATAATAATAATAGTAATAGTAATAGTAATAGTAATAGTAATAGTACTAGTAGTAGTAATAATAATAATA